AATAAAATATATATTTACGTAATCTTAGAATTTTAAATTTGCATCGCATTATCGATTGAATAAAGGAGCCATATAAATTTTATATTTTATTTTTATTTTTTTATAGTAGATCGTCAAAACATGATTATTATAATAAAATAATAACAATTTTAAACAAAAAAGCAATCAAATTGTTAGTTATAAGTAAATAATAATTATAACAGATATTTTTATTCTTAACTTTATATTTTAATAAAAAACGCTCATGTAAATATTATTAGATATTATGTGTAGAAATTTATTAATTACCAGCATGTTTATCAGGTCATTTGGATGATCACGTATCGGTCAACTTCTAGAATATATCTGGCACTTCTCCTTGAGAGAAGTCTCCTGCTTACAGAATAATTTCGCTATGGTTGTAGAACGATGTCAGTTTTACGACGTGTTAGCTGACAAAAAGTATACGCCTCGCAATTTCGCCGAGTATATTGCTCACCGTGAAATAAACGAGATTTCGTGGCTATTATTCGCGAATTTAACTAGCCAAAGAAAGAGAGAGAGAGAAAGGATTGAGGAAGAAGAAAATCCGATTTCGCGGAAAATATACTTTTCATTTATCATTAATCATTACATACATTATATCTTAGATACATTATATCTTTTTATAAGCGGCTTTTAAAGAATTTCGATTTGTTATCCTATTTCCTCTTCACTTTAAGCTTTATTGCGTCAACGATTATTTAACTACAAACTTCTTGAATAAACAAGTTTTATTATAGTTGTTTTTCTGTTTTTGAAGATTTATTGAAATTGTGTGTGTTAGAAAATTATTATATACTTATATTATTACATAATTGTATATGAAGTTTTGATGATATTAAATACTTTAATGTATATATACACACATATATACATACATATAAATTCTAATATATATATAATGACAAAAGATATAATATTTTAAAATAATCGTCGATTCGATTATTCTTAATATCTATTTTACATTTAATTAGATTTTGTGCTCTCTGTGCGAAATAATTCCGAGATAAACTTTGTTTCAATATTACAGGAAGCATTACTCCGTTAATTTACGTCTCCCTGTTCGTAATCGCGCAAGTTTTGAGTTAATGTCCTCGATGACTAGGGTGAGCCGAGCTCGGGATGTTTGTTTTCGGCGAATAAACGCTTTGTTAATCTTCAGTTGCTTATCAGACTGGGAAATATTATCTCGTGCTCCCCACGGTCGATTCATGGTCCAGCAGTTATGCCAAGAGATAACTCGAGTATAGCACGTACTTCCGTGAGCGAAGACAATCCTAGCGCGAACCAATTTCTGTCAGTTTCCTTCTTTTAATTGCTTCTTTCGTAAAAATGGACGATTCATGTAAAACCAGATTGGATCGTCGATATTACGTTTTTAATCTGCCACCATCGTCGCAGGCGCTCATTTTAAGGGAATGGTATATCTAAGCCCTATAATGAAAAGTTTTCTATATGTGATTGCTTACCTACAAATCTCAAGAAAGTACAACGCTAGAATATTTCTTGATTTATGTGTATTACTGTGTATTTATGTGTATTACGGAGAGAAGTTCTATTAGTTTGTTTGCAACATCTTTGGACACTTTATATAAAATGTTTTAGAGCTACTTACATTTAAATTATGTATATATTTTTTGATGAATTAAAATTCGGTTATTTCTTTTTCAATTTATTCTAAAGAAAATGTAGTAGATATATTATAAAACTGTAACTTTTTTATTTTCAATATTAAATATCATGCCAACTAAGTTTGTAATTAAAATCTTATCAAGAAAAGATTTATTTTATGTTAAAAAAAAATAACTATCTATTTGCAACTCTGAATGTAATAACCAAAACTTTCTTTTTAATCGCGCATTTTTAATCGTTTTTAACATAAAACTATCTAGTATTACTTTTGAAGAAAAAATATTAAAGACAAAAGACAGATTAGCAGGTCTGTAACATTTTACGTCACATTTCAGACAAATCGGTGATTGATGCGGAAAATTACGCGGTATATGTGAAAATTATTATTGCGACGTTCGAGATTTTGTAGCAAACGTCAACTTAAAATTATACGGCATGTGAAAATTATACTTGCGCGGAGCTCGAGATTTCACGAATGAAGTTCAACTCGGCGGCAAACAGCAATTACCGGAGCTACTTGTGCTCGAAATCCTGTAAAGTTGCTTGATCGTGACGTTAATAGCGGTCATTTTAACATTTAACCAGTCACTCGTGTCTCCTTTCGTGAAGAATTATCAACAAGAATGCAAAAAGTAATTTGTTCTCGCTGCGAAACTTTAACTAATCAATCATGTAGATGTATGTGTGTGTGTGTGTGTGTGCAGAAACACGAAATGCAATCTTATTATAGATACAACCATGAATTTTATATGTGCGAATCAAACAGCTGAATCTGCTATGCAGATTTGCTTCTTATAGTTTCAGGAGAGAATAATTCGTTTATCGTGATTTTGTCGAGAACGATCGATGCAAAATCGAGTTCTAATCAAAATTTATTCTTCAATTAAACACAGCGCAAACTGCTGCGAATCTGCAGTAATCCGAATCCCAATAATCCCGACTTGTTTCTTAAGTACACATATATTAAGAAGAGTTATGGCATTATCGCATTTTTTTGTCGTAATCTTTGCATATTGCAAAAGTGGCAGCACAAAATTATATTGATTTTTAGATTTTACTATAAAACTATATAACATACATGTACATACATAAATTTTTATTTCTCAAACACCATGAATTTATTATATATAAATAATGAAAAAAGTTTTGATTTTATATTTGTTGTTTTATTTCTTCTTATATTTTATTATAATAATTTTCATTTTTTGAATAATTAATAAAACTTATATCTTCTGCTCTTTGCATTAAAAATGGATTTTCATCAACTAATAATCATATGGATTACCTCGCGAAGAAGGATTATTAGGGTCACGTATATTGTGGTGTGCGTTTCGATCGTGCATAAACGTAATGTAACGTGCCTAGAGAGAACTATTTCCCCTCGGCAAATGACCCCGTCCGATTGAAAACCGTGGACGTGAACGGAATTGATTATGCCTCAATTATTTCTATTGCGATTGGTATGCCAGGGCGACTCGTGCTCTATATACGCGCCTAAGGATAGGCATAGAATGCGTAAAAAACGTTCATCCATTGTGCTGTTGACGGAAAAAAAAAGAAAAACGAGAAGAAAACGGAAATAGCTACGCGAAAACAAAGCCACATAATGAAAAGAATCGCGTGAATACCTATAGGGGAGACTTAGGTGGTACAAATTAAAAGGATCACGTGGAGATTCTTAGAAGAGGCTTAAGTAACACAAGTCAACGTATGTTGAGGATCAATCAATGAATTTAGCTAGATATTTCATGGAATATTAAAGAATTTCTGAAGTTAAAAGATTGTTTGATATAAATGTCATTTAGATTCCCAATTAAAGGCTAAGTTTTTTGAGGATTGTCTTGAATTGTCCAATACTGATTTTCAAATGAATTTAGTCTTGTTTTTTGCTAGATATATTTCTTTAAATGTATTTTATATATATTTGAAGAAATATGAATATTTGTAGTCGATGCTTTTATCGCAAATTTAGAAAGCGACGTGTCTTTCTAGATCAATAAGCCGCGTTCTGAACGCATCCGCGCGGAACATCCGCGGAAAGGATAATCTTATTTTGGCAATAACCGCGTGCTTTTCAATTCATTGCTCGTAGCCGAGCGCACCATCTTTGATTGCGGTATGTGGGTGTATTGGCTCATCGTATCTTTTGTTTATTATGCCAGCACGCTTGCCTGGCTTATATTGTGCCGGTAGCGTAAACGCGTAGGCTGCGCCGCTCTTGAAACCACAACCGGCGATACATAAATCCAGTTCGCCGCATGCGAGATCGAGCGAGCTTTCCATTTCTACGTCTTTCGGCAAAGAGTCGATCCGCGAATCGCGCGATAATCGGCCGGATTATCCCGCGGATCTTTCTCCATCCATTTTTCTGTAGAAGTGAACATTTTTTTTTACGTTAACGCATGTGTTGGTGCGTCGATCGGGTACGAGAGTGCGAGGAATAATTAAGCTTTTTTTCGACACAAGCTTGAAAATACGCTTGAAATTCCGCGGTGCAATGACGCGTGATGGTTTTATCACGTTTTATTCGGGTTAATTGCGAATTACGGAATTCGCACGAACGTTACGCGAACGTTAGCTTAGAGGAATATTTTCCGGACGGGAAAAAGCGACCACCCTTCGGTGGCTCCTTTTTCGTTTAATTAATCGCGACTTTAAACTCACCGCGCTACACGAACGTAGCCGCTTTAATTTTCCCCTAACAACATTCATAAATCTGCGAATAAAATTCTGCTATCCGCAGCTCGCACAATTAGTGAGAATTAAAAGCGTTGGCGAACTAATTTCGGTTGTAACAATTGTTTAATGACGTAATCGCATTATAAAAAAGAAGAGTATAACGCGATTAAATTATTAATCGCAATTGCGATTTGAACGACATTTTTTACGAGAGATTTAATGCGATTTGAATTTATATTGATATTCGCATATAAAGAAATACGATGAAAAAATAGTCTCAAAATAATTCAGATAATTCAAATAATTTCGATCAAAAATTTAATGACAAAAATTGAAAATGTAATGAAATAGACATATTTGTAATATACGATAAATACAATTAATATTTTTTTTTATAACATTCGTCACTTATTGATTTTATTAGTTCGATAATTATCGGATCAATTCACAATTTCTTAATTATATCAATATATTTTGCGTATTCTTTGTTAAATATTCAATTAAACCTTGTAGCTTTTGCGAGCATAATTAAATGCTTATATCTCAATATAGTGGAATTTTTCCAGGTTGTTTGGAGACACTCAGGAAAGGAAAAAACTTTTTCTGTATATATCTCGCATCTTTAAAATTCAAAATTAAAAGTGCTATTAATATTTTAAATATTAAATACAGAGGTAAGAAGGACAAATTTCTGAAACTATATCTCTTTATTTTTAATATATAATACTTAGAGACGTTTAACCGAGAAAAAGAATTTATCAGAAGAAGCAAAGACCAATCTTATGACTCGGCGGCAGATTGTGCTACGTATAATTAAAAGGACTCACTTTTATACCCAAACAATAGCGACAGAAACTTTATGTCACCGTTAGTGCCATGCCGCTTAGATCGGAGGTTTCGTCGAGGGACAATCTTAATACTCTCGCACAATCGGTTAGTTATCTGCGAGAATACGATAGCGATTCTACTGCGATAACCTTGGAATATCGCAATATCACCTTATGTGCTTACGTACAGCTGATTCCGCATCGAATGGTTGATCGAAGCGAAACGTTTAGATTCCGTGCCGCACGTATATAGGCGCCTCCATTACGACTATTCTAACTACGATAATATCGTTTCTGCTCGTATGCCTTAGGGAAGTAAAATGCCACGCGTTATCTCTATTCTGTTCGGCGTATCTGCGTCCGACGGAAGCATAATTTGAATACGATAGTAAACGTGTTTGCGCAACATCTAGGCTAAATTTACGTAAAACGTGAACCGTTACGGCTGCACGATTTGTTAAAAAGAACGCGCGAAACATTAAAGGGTGTTAAAGGGCGCGCAATAACGTGAGCGACGAGAGAAATTCAAGGAGGACGCGAAACGAAAATGGATCTGTCACTGTGGACGCAATCGCGCGCCAGTATTTAATGTTCGAGTGTCGTCTGTTTCGGATCGTCCTTCGCACTTGTCGTTCGCAGATGTCACACGTAAAACCGGCAACGTGAAATAAATGAATTTTGGATTAAACGTGAAGAGGGGGTCCGCGTAATTTATTTTGTTGCACATCTGCTTTAAATTAAAATGTGTAGGTTTTATCGCTTAGATAATAATCTATAATTGTTTACTAGTAAGCAGTTATCTGGCGTTTATATATGTGTGAGAGAGAGCGAGAAAAATCTTTGATAATTCAAATAAAATTTATTTAATTTTATACACACACGTATATGAACATATGTAAATATGGTTTAAGCGTATTATGATGTTGCTTTTCAAAAATTGAAATTCTATCACGCCTACACATTTATTCGAGCGATGTTTCCAACATATTTTTTCATTGTTAAAAGCACTCCAAGAACTTTTCAGTCTAAGAATTTTTCAGAAATGCTTGTATTGAGAAGTCGACTGAAATCTTTTAAAATCTACAGCATTTCTCGAACGTTCTTCGAGCTAACAATAGGTTGAATAAACAGATGGAAGGAATAAAGCAATACCGGAAGCAACATATATATTTTTACGAAATAATTCTTATATAATTAATTCCGTACGTGCTGTTGGATTTATAAGTCATAAACGGCGATGTTTTTATATCGATAGTCCATTTCTACAATGAGATACATCAGCGAATAAAACGGACGATTTAATGAGTTAAATATTGACAAACACGAGATAAACGCGCTATAATTCTCATCTATGAAAAAATATTCAAAAAAATATGCGCATGGGATATTTCTGTTAGCAGGAGGAACGACGTCGTACCGGAAGGTACATCGCGGGCGGAACGGTTCTTGCAGTTACATTGCTCGGGCTACATCATTTGCTTCTACAGGTTGCGTCCACGATAGCGAGAGTATGCATACCCGCCATCATAATGGCCTTGTACATAATCTGGGTGCTGTACTCAGCCCGCAGGGACAGGCGGAAGGTAGCGAGATTTGAAATGCTGTGTTATTTCTCTGTGTCTTTCTCTCTCCTTTCCTCTCTTTCTCTCTGCTTTAATCCAAAGCGAGGTCAGCAAAGGCCATAAGGCTACGAAACGCGTTTTCGACAAATGCCAGCAAAATATATATAAATAATTTTTACATTCTTGAAATTCGATCCGGCATTAAAAATCGGTAATATAGACGATAACATAATCTCTATTGTGTTGTTTGACATTTCACCAACTGTCGTCGGTTTATTACCTTTCACCTTTACGCATTTCATTTCGCTAATGAGATCCCCGGGGGAAATTAGGAAACACTGATTGGCGGAGAAAGGCGATTTTGATGCAAAACTCGCGAAAGAGTTTTTTCACCGTAGATCAAGCTTGAAAGATGATGGAATTCTCGATTGATCGTCGACGATTTCTACGGTTATATCTAGGATGAGTTTAAAGTAGATGCCATTCACCGTAAGAAGCTTATGAAGTTCGCTCGCTTCGCTTAATATTAAAGGACTTTAAAACGACTCGTTTGCGTACAGTACAATAAAATATTCAAAACTATATTAAATTGTTACTGTTCACAATAAAAAAGAAATATCGCGTACTGTTCACATAGAGTCGATACGCGTCGCTTTGCCACTTTTTAATCTTTCATTGAAATTGCTTTATATATTGCAGCGTTTTTTCTGCATACCCGTCGCGTCACTTTGAAACGTTTCTCGTTTAAACTTTATTTCACTATTCTCTCTTCTCTTCACGTTCTTTTATGAAATGTAATTAATTTAACGAATATAACATGGCACGCGTTATATGCAGCACTATTTGCCACTTTTCTCTTGCAAAATAAACCTGGTGCATATAACGGCAGATATTTTTGTATGACCTGCATCTGTTGAGAGCCTATATTTTTATAGAAACGTTTATATACAAATTGCTTATATTATAAGTAAGTGTGTTTACACATGTATGTATACGAGGGAACATTTTTCCTAGCGCTTGAAATGTACTGATATTTGTCAAAGAAGAGATACGGTACTAGAAATAATATTTAAATTTTAATCAAATCGCGCATAGCATGTGATATATACAAAGACGATAATGTCACAACTTTAATTCCTATTTACTTTAATAAAAACGACGATTATTTAGAATAATATATAGCTTAAATATATAAAAAAAATATTATTAACAAATAAAATAAAATAAACGGTAAATACAGGAGAGATTTCTGCTTTGCATTAAAATTTCAGAAAAATGCCGGAAATTTAAAGAACAGCTTTAGCCAATGCTACGCGCAAAACGTTCTTTCGTCAGATTATAAATAAGCATACGAAACGAAAATACCTTCAGTCGAATTCTTTTTCCTACGACCTACGACGATAAGCGGATATAAACATCAATAGATCGGAACAGTTCCAGATGTGCATGTTACTTTCGAGCATTGAAATTAATTGATATTTGTATTGACACACAAGATGTGACAAAATCAATCTGTTGGTGAAGTAGAGCATGCGAATAGGATTATCAATCCTATTATGGCATCAATCAAACGAAATCGCTGATAATACGCAAATCGGATAGAAATAGAACGTTCGTATTATTGACGGGGGTCTATTTACGATCTATCAGATAACTTTTCTCGCGCTCTTTCAGTCAGACTGATAATATCATGCTGGATATAGCGATGATATCGCGTAATGACGTGGCCAATTAAATTGACACTCCGCATCGAGCTATCTCGGGATCGAATTACAGCGAACTGTATTCGATCGCTTGCTGTCGATGCAGTTTGCAATGTGATTGCTATTGCAATCGGATGCAATGCAACTGAGACAGTACTAAATTCATGAGAGTATCGGGTGCAATGATAATTTTGTTCCCTTATATGTAGAAAGACCATAAAACTGTTCATCAACGAGATCAACGTTGATTTATTCGCGAAAATTTAATAGAAAAAAATCTATAATTAGAATATTTTATTTTGTGGTGTTTTATAATTAAGTTATAAGAGGGAACTCTCTCTCTCTCTCCCTCCCTCTCTCTCTCTCTCTCTCGCATACAAAACTTCTAATGCATTTCTCGATCGTTTCAATTAATGTTACCTCCTTTGAAATATACGATATCTAACTGGTACAAATATCTTATTCGGATCTTATGTACACAAAGTGCACATAAACACAATACCGCATATAAATGCAACGTACACAATTAGAGCGCGCGTTTGGGTTTACCCAATACATTATGCAGGCTTTGCCACTCATGCGTAGTAAATGTTGTATTGTCTCTATTTCGATACATGTACATAATTATTATGTTGCATGATGCTCGCCTGACAAGCATATATGGTAAATGCATGTTTACGCTAGCTATTACTTCTCGTGTAACATTCAGTCGTGAATTTCCGATGTCAGTTACAGGCGCAGTAATTTTCTACGTAATTTCGTTCGCATAATTTGGGTCAAAATGAAGAGTCGTTCTAAATAATCAAAACTGTCATATTTACAAAAAAAAAAAAAAAAAAAAAAAAAATTAAGATTTCGTATAACGTATAACAATTTCAACATAAATTAAATCTTAGTAATAAATTATTGCAAAATATGCACTATTTCTGGAAATTTATCAATTAAGTTTACTTTAACTTTGACTATATTTTCACGTAGAATATTGATTGTATTATATACGTTAAAACAATTTACACGTTGAATGTTATAAGGATAGTAACTTCATATGTAACACAATTTTTAAATAAATTTGGAACTAGAATAGAATAAAAAAAAATGGATGTAATTACATTGTGCATTCCGCTATATTTATATAATCCTGTTTATTTATTTTATTTATCATTAATTTGTAGATTGCTTTGTGGCGTTTATATATATATACCTCGCGGACTATTTTTATTATTAGAAGATAAAATCTAATGTTAAATAATACTATCTTAAAGAATTAAATTTTTAGATTGATCAACAAATTTTTTGATTAAGTAAAAATATATTTAAACATCCAAATATAATTATGAGCAAAAGATAAACAATTTTATTAACATTTATCGATCAATAAATTAAATGTATTAAGTTTTGAAATGTATTAAGCTTTAATCGATGGACTAAATTTAAGAAAGGAGAATATCAATTTATATTTCTATAAAAATTCTAAATTTTCTGCTTTATATAAGAGCTTTACATATATATAAGATGCTTTGTATATAATCTGCTTTGTATGAGATTACATAGTATTTTGTCTTGAATGCGCAGAGTTAAACTGCTGCATATTTAAAATTGTACTACACGCGGACACAAATACAATTCATAGAAAATATAAACATTTGAAGATTAAACAGCAAGTTTTACTTGTTCTGCATGTCGATGGAAAAACGTAAAACCGCTGGAAGTTAAATGGCATAACTATTCTCTGCGCGAAATTCGAAAGATCACTACGACATGCGACAAAGATCCTTCCTTTGAGCGATATTTTCAATTTTTGCGAACAGCATGCGCGAAATCGGACTGTGTGTGACAGCGCGGGCAATTAAATCGGCTCGGAACCAAAGCTGCGTCATACAAATTGATCCAATTATGCCGGACGTCCGTCTCGACGTTGACGCTCGCTCGCACAAATTACGGATTGCGCACTTTACGTGTACGTCAACGCGAACGATTTGCGGTCCATGATATATATAATCAACTGTTGATTTCAGGCGCTGAGGTTCGCTACAGCGATGCAGTTGACTGAGGTTGTCAGCATCCCTACCAGATCCAGATCTAACGTTATTTGCAAGAATCCTACGAGCGACGACAATTTAGGGAAAAACACGTCAAATTTATACAAATCGAAGAGCATCCGCGAAAATCCTGCTTTTCTTGATAAAGATGAAGCGTGAAAAAATCAATTTAAAATATGAAAAATGTTTGGAAAAATCGGATTATAAATATAATTTTTACTAATTATATTGTGCATTCCGCTATATTTATATAATCCTTTTTATATATTGTACATTTTCAAAGATTTTCTGAAGTGTTTTGTATGAATTACAATTCACTTTACATATACATATCTGATATGTTTTTTTTTAAATTTCTTTTTCTTTTAATTAAAATATCAAGATTTCTCCTTTTATCTATTTTTTTTCTTTTTAATTCTTTTTATGTGTGTGTCTCTCTAGATTTTATTTTTCCTTAAGTCCTACGACTATATTAATTTATTATTAATTATTTTATTTTGGAAATTATTTTACTTTTACTTTTCTAAACGCAATCGCGGCAAGTGTCGGGAAATAATTTGATATGATAAATAATTAATTATTTTTTACATATCTTATCTTTTACATACATTATTAAATAATACGTAATTATATCGCAACAATAAATCTCGAGGTGCATATTTCGCGTGATGTATGCACATATAATCAAGAATCGAAATGACAGGAATCAAAATTGTAAAATATTGTTTTGTCGAGATCTTTCTCTCTCTTTATAAGCAATAATTATTTCTTTAAAAATATTTAAAGTTCAATTATATTTCGTTCGATGTTTTATCGTTCGACTTTTCGACGATTTAAATATAATTCGAATTGAGAAAGCGCAATAAAATAGTCGAATCACAAGTCCGAGTAATTAACATAACGATAAGCTCTGTAATATATATATTAATCGTTTACTAAATAATTGATCAATAATTTAAAATACTTGTATAATTTAATATTCCGCGTGTATATATGTCATAATAATTTTGGCTGCGAATTATCAATAACATGGTATGCAGCCTTGGCAGCGTAAACAATAGCGCGCTATTGTTTATATGTTACGGCCTTGTTATTATTTGTATAGCAATACTTGAATAGTATTGTAATAGTGGGAGAGACGCTCGGTCGAATTCCTTTCCCACTCCCACTTCTTATTTCTTATCATTCGTACGGCGACATTTAAACAGTGATATAATAGTTCGAGACGCTCCGTCAGATTTCTTTTCTAGATGTGATCGTGACAAATATCGGGAAATAATATAATATAATTAATAATTAATTCTCTCTCTCTCTCTCTCTCTCTCTGTCTCTCTCTCTCTCTCTCTCTCTAGGCAACAATTATTTCTTTAAAAATACTTAAAATTAAATATATTGTGTCCAATTCTTTATCATTCGACTTTTCGACGATCTAAATATAATTCGGATTGAAAACGCGCAATAAATAGTCGAATCGCAGGTCTGAGTAATTAATATAACAATAAGTTTTGTGATATATTAATAGTTAAATTAAATAATTGATTTAAAATTTAAAATACTTGTATAATTTAATATTCCGCCTGTATATTCGTCATAGTATGTACAATATTTCGGCACTGAATTATTAATAACATAGTTTTCGGCCTTGGCGGCGTAAACAATAGCGCGCTAATGTTTACGTGCTTCGGTCTTGTTATCATTCGCACGCCGACACTCGAACAGTAAAGTAGTAGTGCGAAACGCTTCGTATCTTGTCAAATTTCTTTTCTAAACGTGATCGTTCTAAAGGTTTACTGTGAAGGGGAAACCAAGTACCCAGCGTCGTTGGTGCTGTCATCGTGTCGTGGATGGCTTGTCGCGTCGTCGGTGCCGTCATCGTGCCGCGGACGGCTTTCGCGTCTTTCGCGTCGCGTGTCTGTACAGCATTGCCACGAGTCGCACAATGGCTCATATGCCGTACGAGCAACGATGCGTCGCGTTGTCGCGGTATCGCGTTTTCGCGTCGTCGCGTCTTCGCGGTGGACTTCTATCTCGTTTTTACGATTCGAGGATCATGCTTTGTTGCCGATTAAATGGACTCCGCTGTTGCGCATCAGTGCCGGTGAGTGACGAACTTTATTTTCTTTTGAGGTAATGGATTCGTAGATATTGTAGATATAAATGTAGATTGTAGATTATAAATAGATCCGTTGCTTCAAAATGGATAGGCTAGAATAGATTAAATTATATAACTTTCAATAGATTTTTTTAATATGCATTAAAACATATTAAAGTGTGAATTAAAGCAAAAATTTGAAAAAGATGTAAAATATTTTTTTAATTGATAAATTTTATTTAATTTGTTTAATGAAGAAGGCGTTAGAGTAAATTTATTAATTATATGAAATAACTTATTCTAATATTGCGCCGATTTTATTCTAGTTTTTTATAGCCCATTCATCTATATTATTATATCAATTAAAACTTTGCTTTAATTGATGTAGTGCCAAATTATCTATTAAATTATATAAAATATAAATGTTTTATTAATTTTATTTTAATATGATCCTTATCCTTTATTCCAAAACGATAATAAAAATATTATATTATTATAAGAATTTCAATCAATTAATTTTGATTGATAATTTGGCATTATATTAATTAAAGTGAAGTTATATTAAAATGATGCATGACAAACGGTCGTAATGTCTCACGACCGTAATCGAGCGAAAAATTACGCTCATGCACCGGCGATAATAATTAGCCGGCAACGGAAGGAATTTCTCTCCTTCATTGATCTCTGATAGAGGTCGAAACTACATTTCTGACTAGATGTAGCCAGAATGAATATGGCCAGGATCAACGAAAGGTAGGTCCAACTGGCCCAACTAGAAGCCACATACGGTTCATTCTATTAGGGCACGCGAGTAGGGCACGCGAGTAGGGTACGCGAGGTAGGGCACACTCTCCAAATCTTAGGTGATCACAGATTGCCGCTGGCTTAGCCAGCAAAAGTAGGATTATTAGGATTATTAGGATTATCTTAAGGAATTAAATGTTTACTAGGAATTTAAAAAATGCTAAGATTATTAGGATATTAAAGAGTTAAATATAAGAATAAAATATAAATAATATAAAATTCAAATTTATTTTTATGCAAATTAAAAACATATTATTTATTTTAAAAATATTTATAAACTTAAGAGCTTGTGTTTTTATACCAAAGAATCGTTGATAAATTCGGGAAATTTTATTTCAAATTTGGTTAATATCACGAATTCTTATTAATATTACTAATCCTTCTAGTATTTAATAAAAAAATTATTGAACAAGAGTGTGAAAGCTTCATGTTAAACTAACGATTAAATATATTAGCTTTTTATTCACAAAATTTGACGACTGCCTTCGACATTGCAGAATCGCGAGTAAATTATCTCGAATTTCATGATTTTGATTTGATTGATATTTACAAATTTCGTATCGGAATTAAATACTCGTAAAATAAGTTAATAAATTACATTATGAAAACACTGCGTTCTTTCCACGTTCTTGGATGCGATCGCTGTCTTAACTAAGGGGTCTCATCGTTGTTCCTCTCGTCAGGTGAACGTTAGTAATGTTGCGTGGTTCATACCGGCGAGGAGTCGAAACAATCTTCATCGTGGAGAATTACTTCTTGTCGGTTCTTGTAAGACCTATTCGCGACGTCTAGTTCGGTGCCCTGTTGAAAATTAGGGATGTTCGTTGCAGGATTGGAATTAAACCCAGATTTTCTTGGCGATTTCTAAAAGCAATGGTTTCGGTAGTATCTCAACGACGACTGCCCACGCGCCTTTTTCAAGTCGAATCAGGAAATTAATTTAAATAATATATTTAAAGGGAAGATGTATTTCTTTTTCTTCGTTAAAAATGTTCTGGTATCATTATTAACATTATTATTATTATTGTTTAATATTAAAAAAATTTAATAGTAGACTGAACGTGGATATAGCTACTGTATATAATTTTACTGTATATAATTTTTTTTTCAAGCAATTTCAAATTGCGATCAATTTGCCCTACTGACTTTTTTGATAAAAAATTATGGTTACGAACGAATATATTTTATTAATTAATTTTTAATTAATCAATTGTTGATTTTTTTTTTGAGAAAATATTTCTAGGTACTGAGGATATTAAAATTATTTTTTGGTTTCTTTTAAGAAATCATTTATAGGTATGGGACATCCCGCCATTCTAGGAGCGTTCTGGATAGTTTTTAGATTACCATTCTATATATATAATAAAATACATGCGCAAATTAATATACTATTTAAAAAAAAACTGTTGTACTGTTTTTAAATATTATGTTACAAAATATTATATATGAATGTAACGTAAAATATGCGTATACTTTAAAACTTCGAGACAAATCAAATGGGTACCTCGATATCAGTGAAATATCGGCAAATTAATGTATTTAAATGCTACAGAAAAAGATTAATTATAGCTTAGAATTAATTATGCTTGATATAATTTTGATTTATTTTATGTCGCAAAGTATTCAAATTAAATTTTTTGTTTAATTTCACTGTTATCGGGTTTGATTCGTCTCGAGCAGTTAGTACCCAAGAATTATTTGTACTCGCACATTTAATATAAGCTATGATAAAGATGCATGTATTTTATTATTCATAAATATAGTCGTTCGTAACCACGTTTCCATAAAAATCGTTATATCCATTTATTTTTCATATCCCTATTCATTTTTCAATAAAGAGATATATATTTATTATTAATGGAAGAATATATTTTCTCGCGCGAATCTCAATCTTGTGAATTGAAGATAATGACAATGGTAACTGTCATTGATTCGTTACCGAAATCATTGCTATTGGGAGCAGTCCGGAAGATCTGGGATTCGTTCCCTCCTACAGCGAGACCCCTGATATTTAACAGATCACTTAACTTTTCTTTGCGTATTGATCTTGCGAGGTCCGATGTAGAAGCAAAAAGTTGATCGTTCTCCATCTTTAGGATTGTTCTTGTCTTTGTCGGATATTAACCGACGTGTTATCTGACGGAGGGACTTTGATTTGATCAAATTGTTGGGGCAATTATCGTCCATTGAACGCAGCAATAACGCAGTTTTTTTATAACGTATTTTAAGACTTATAAGGTTTTATCCTGTTTAGCCAATTCTC